GGGGGGGGGGGAGGAAGGATGTAGACTGAAGAAAAGAACTGCCTCCCTCCCTATTCCCTAACAAACACCATTCTATCACTAAAAAGGACTATATCAGATTCCATTGTAGGTAAGAAGAACAGCAGCAATACAACACACCCATCTGAAAAGACAATTTGAGCCTTTAACTAACGATAGATTACGTTAAGACTGTACCTCTGAAACATCCAAGATCTGCTTCCCAAGGCAATTTACTGCAATACCTACTTTTCAGACTCATGTGAAATATTTTTCTGTAACAGTATATTAATGGGTTAATAACAAAAAATTTTTTTCCAAGTCTTATATTTAGAAAAAATGAAGCATACATCTATGACAGTTCATATTTGCTCTCTTCCTATTTTAATGATGCCTTCCTTTCTCGATATGAACATGCACAGCACGGGCTAAAACTGTTGTTGGTTAAAATCTGAAATATGTTCATACTTGACTAATGAGAGTAAAAGCATAAGGGGGAAATGTAGATACTAGTGCACTGTATTGAGCTTGCTACTTGCATTTTTAATAAAAAAAACCCCAAAGTTTAATAAAGAATGCAATGTAGAGCTAACATTCTACATTAGCAAGTTTATTCTTTAACTGCCTTTTATTGAAGAAACCATATATTGAATCCTGAAGAAATGAAGTTTAGAAAAGGCTACATCTAAAGGAATGAGATCCAAGAACAAAAAACCAAGAGAAACTGATTCAGACAAATCAAATACAAGTGTTCTCATATGCAAGCTAGTGCAGCAAAGACAAAGTTAACGACATACTTTGCAACGTGGGGGAGCACACAATACGTTTCCCATAGTGCTTTATTCTGTGTAATAGGAGGAAACTGCCTCCAATTCTCCCCACTTCTCTCTCTCGAGAAGGAAAACTGTAATTTCTGTGGAATGAGGTATGAGTTCAGCTTTAAATCAGTATAAATAGTGGTTAGGATTTTCTTCACTGTTTACAAGAAAATGTTGAACAATGTCTATCAGAAATGTAAGATCTGATATAGAGTGAAGATCTCCTGACATGATGCTTCCATATTAACATTCTAGTTCTAGCTTCTGAGGGGAAATGTGCCTCATAAAAAGAATCAAGAAAACATGCAGAAAACGAATATGCAAAAGAACAGTCTACAACTTGATATTGCTCAATAATTCTTTAGGTGTAGGCCTACATTTGATGTGGATTAAAGGAACTCCTTTAATGATCACCTCACTTTTTCAGAAACCAACCAGAGTTAACTGCTAACATTCCTATTCCTTCTATTTTCAGCAATATTAGAGACTATAATGCTGACTGTCAGGTAACAGTTTGAGAGAAAGCAGCAAGTAAGCCGACCATAAACTAATCAAAGATAGAATAGGGCAGGTTGGTCCTCCTAATAGTCACATGATGTTCTAATTCAAGTATCTTAGGAACTGAAGGGAAGCAAGAAGAAAAGTGAGTCCTGATCTGAATTTTTTTAATGATTTCAGAAGGCCCTTTAAATCAAGAGTAGATATGCCATAGTCTAAGAACTGTATTCTAATCCCAGCCACTTTTTCCAGCACTCTGAAGCCGTCTGACCTAGCCATCCAATACAATAGTATGATTGCAAAGAACAGATGGTACTGTTTTCCCCATCTTCAAGGCAAAAACACACCAAAAAAGTATAGTGTAAAACCTAAAATATTTTGGTTTCAAAAACTTAAGTTTAGAAAATCCCAGCCTGCCTACATATAATGAATTTAATTTTATTTTACTTCATTTGTGCCTTTAAGTTAGCTTTGATCCAGGCAACTACACAAACAACTCCATGCAGTTTTCTTGGCAACATTTTTCAGAAGAGGTTTGCCACTGTCTTCTTCCTAGGGTTGAGAGAGTGTGATTAGCACTAAGTCATCTAGTTGGCTTTGTGTCTAAAGTAGGACTAGAATGCAGAGTCTCCTAGCTTCTAGTCTAGTGCCTTTGACCACACATAAAATAGTCCTCCATTAAAGCCATCAGTACCCCAAGGAAAATTAGGTGTGCCTTCTGGCATCAAAAGATTGCCCATTCTTGATTTCAAGTCTATGCAAGAGAGCATGCACCAGAATATCATTCTGAAATTTTACTCTTTAAAATGTTATACTTAATTTCTCCTCCTTCCAGAAAGGCTCACCCAATCCATAGTTCAGAGGAACTCTGACATTTGTGAAAGCCTCTTGGACCCAGTATGACAATAAACATAGCTCATAAAGAGGCACTTCTGCATTTGCATCTACAGTCAGATGAATACATAACTAGATATGCAAAAATGGAACTGGATTAACTATTCAGTATTGATCAATATGATTATCATTTCTATAACTAGGAAGATAAGCTATTTTTAGTTAGACTATAGCAGTCAAAAGAATAAATTTAGATAAACTTTTATAAATACTCCACAAAACATTTAAAAACTATCAAGATTCCAAAAATGCGAGTATCACTTAAATGCCAAAAAGAGATGTTTAAAAATGCTATATTAAATTTTCTATATGAATAAATGTATCTGCTCTTGCTGCGTAAAATGAAAGCTTTGACCATGATGTTTTACTCAAGAGTTAAATGTATACACAGCAAGTGTAGTTTTAATGCCATTATTTGCTTTTCTGAGAGACTGAATGTACCACGTCATGGAAATTTAACTTTAATAAGCCACAAAAAATCTCTGTATGTATGTAGCAGGGGAAAATGTCTCGTTTGTACAATTATCATCTGGAGTTTTGTTTTGTCTTTGTTTTTTTTAATCTTGAATTTGTTTTGCTTCTTTGTTTAAAATTTGTTAATGGCTTTATAAATAAAAGTGATCTACCAGATTGTCCATTCAGAAATGGGCAACTGGGGACTATAATCCTATAAATAATGTTATGTTTTATTTTTTCCATATATTACAAAAAATATGTGTATATGACATAGTTTATGAAGAAAACCAATGAGTCACAAATAATTTTAGACTCATCAAGCATTCAAATTTTAAATTGAATTTTTAGGATGTAGCATTTTATCTAGCAGTGTTAAAAGGACAAGCTTTATCCTTAAAGATAGTGTGCATGAACTGCAATCAAAACACCAGCATCTTAAGTGCATAAATCAACAGAGCTAGATCTAGCTAACCACTTACAGACAATGGCAGTGAAAATTGATCATTCTACCTATTCTCTTCACAAATTTCCTACCCCCAAAAAAATGCTGTTTCAGGGTCAGAGGATTATCTCAAGTGGATATAGCTATACCAGTTGAGGGGAGAGGTGCAATTATGGAAAATCTAATAAAGGCACTGTACATGCTACATACAGAAGGCGTCTCTGCCTGATTTTATGTGAGCTCCCCTCTTATTCTCCATATTTGTAGTATCTCATTTCATCAGCCATGCCTCTTCAGCTTTGAGTGAATATATTAAGTACATGTATGTAGCAAATATATATATATATATATCCAACTAGTTTAAAGTGACCATTTCAAAACACATATCTGGATATAAAGAAATCTGAAAGGGTACTATTTCACAGACAGATTTGTATTACTCAGTGCCCAGACTATTCCCTGTTAGAACTGTGCCCTATCCAACCTCTCCGAATGAGTCTAATAGCTGTCAGAGAGGAAGCCATGATTTTCAACTTGAAAGGGCACAGAGTTGAACAGCATTCTTCAGCATGGTAAAGCAAACTGACTCCCATTTTTGCATCAGTCATTATTTGAAGGTAGGGCCACTTACTGTTAGAACGAACGAACACACACACACACACACACCCCTCCCTCTCTCTCTCTCTCTCTTTGCTGCCTTCAAGTCAATGTTGACTCCTGGTAACTGCCTGGACTAGCCCCTGCCATTTTCCTCGCAAGATTTTCAGAAGTGGTTTGCTATGACTTTATTCATAGGGCTGAGTGCGTGTGACTGGCCCAAAGTCACCCAGCTGGCTTCATACCTAAGGTGGAACTAGAACTCATAGTTTCTAGCCTGGTGCCTTAACCACAATGGTACAGGTAGTCCCCAGTTTAAGAACGAGTTCCATTCCCAAGATCTGTCCTTAAGTCAAATTTGTATGTATGTCGGAACATTATTATATATTGTACTTACTATTATAAATAATATTGTGTAATGAATTCGAACCATTGTATATTTAACTAAAATCATTGTGTATTTAACTCATATTTTGCTACAATTGGCTCCATCCTTAGCTGTGGGTCATCTGTAACCCAGGCGTTCTTAATCTGGGGACTACCTGTACACCAAACTGGTTCTTGGTGTGACTGGTATTAAATGCCTAGCATGAGCTTCCCCTCTGGACTAGGCTAAGAGAGAAATACCATCTTCCCCCTTACCTCTCTGGGAGATAGCCCCTAACCTTTCTGCAATGCAGGGGAGTGGAAAATAAATTAGGCAAACAGCAGTTCTTTACTGATGAGAAAAGAACAGGATAATTTGCCATAGTGCATACTCTGAGATGACAGCAGGCCACACTGCCTTGATCTCAGTTCCCAGACAGCAGTGTAGATAGAGGGAACCAGCAGAGTTATGATCAGAACGAAGCTTCTGGAATTATAAGACAAGCAATATACATTTTTAAAACCGACAGGGAAGAGTCTCCATTCCTGTTTTTATGGGCTCCAAGATCTCTGCCCTCCTAGTTCATGTGCCCAAGAAAGCATGGATTTCACCCAAATTTCCAGACAAGTGCCATCCCCTATCATGGCATGAGCCTCAGTTTTCATTATTAATTGCTCCCTTATAATAGCCTATTTAAATCCTAACTCAGTCTTATCACCACCAGTCTTTCTTCAGGGTCTTAGAAAAGCTGAACAATGAGTGTGACTGAGAAGCCATGGGGATCTTTATTACTTTCTTTTATAACAGACCACTGCTATCATCTCAAGACAGATTCCAATGCAACCCCATGTTGGGGTTAGTAGGTTGCCAAAGCGTGTTCTGAGACAATACCCTGAAAATTGCAATGTATGTATACATAGGTCAAACATTTAAGACACACTGTGCTATAAAGAGTAGTGGATGGATTGGAATGGAGACTCTGTTCAGAAACTAAGATTCTGTTGTTTTCAATTTTTTTTTTGGTGGTTGTTTTCTTTTTCACCACCCTCCCATCTATTCCTGACATGTTTAAAAGAGAAAAATTGTCTTGCCTTTGTAAAACTCCATTTCATTACTCATTTCATCACTAGATTCTTCAACTGAAACTTATAGTGGTGTGTGAACTATTTTGCAGGAAATCCACTTATTATTATTAAAACATTACTGGTGTTTAAGTTAATCTTTTTGGCAACTGTTTTATTAAAAATGTCTTTTTAATTCTGATAATGACCAAATCTGTGGAATTGCCTAGTAATATGCACTTTGATTGCTATGCATAGTTAAATGTTAAAATTCTTTATATTAAATGCTTAAGGTCATCACTGAACTTTAAAGTAAATATTTATTTAACTTTTATTCTACCTAGTGTGCATACAGAAAATGGAATGCAGTACAAGCTCAACTGCTTATTACATATCACTCCTCTAATCCCCAAACAGAATCATAAAGAATGAAAAAAATTACTAAGCTATTGGCAAGTGTTTTGATCCTAAATAATACAACATCAATATCACCACTCAGCATGCAGTGACAAATCACTGCAATCTGATGTCATGTACAAATGTTGCAGGCCTTTTCAAAGTAGTATAAAGCATTTCCAATGGCTATAAGGAAATACTAAAGCTTGACTAATAGGAAGCCTGATATTCACTGTCCAATAAATGTTTTATTTTTGTGTTTAGGGATCTGTTTTTGATCAAATACTGAGATTTCTATTGGTTTAAAAAATAAGTACATACCAAATACTATACTTCTTTACAGAAACTACAAGTATTTAGCCAGAAGAGGGCTTTAACTGCCCAGTCACTACCAGGGTCACACCTATATTAGATCATCAGAATGTTAAGTATCAAGCAAAGCTAATTTGCTTTAGTTTTAACAATAACTGTCACTACTACCAAAGATGTAGAATGAAAGAAATCCCAAAACAATTTTGGGATTTTCAAAACATTTTGTGGCTCTGAGAAGCCATTATTCTGTGAATAAAAGTAGGCTTCACCGATTCAGTTTCAGAAAACTTTTGCAAGTAGTTTTATTTACAATGTCAGAGACTTCTGAATTCTGACATCCTAAGTATTTTAACGTGACAGTGAAACATTCAGAAGCGTGGAAGGGCTAGTTTGCAGTGTTAATTGCCATACAGAATCTGCATGGAGTTTAGTTTTATTTAGAGAAGAGGAAAAATAAGGAAATCAGATTACACTGGTAAAACCTCAAACATAGGATTTAAATCTATATTCAAACATTACACATGCAAAGAGAACACCACCAGACTAGTACAACTTCATTTGCTGCTGCATTTGTCTAATATTAACAATTATAAACAGAGCAGTGCAACTGATATTTGGAACAATCCTTACAGTGTTGTTAGGTATCAGGCACAAAGCTTCACTTCTCTTCACACCACTGGTTTTCTTTGCGTACCTGAAAATAAAAACAAACCTTACAATTACACCTTAAGAGCAATGTCAAATGCCTCTTCTAGATATTTACCTGTGAATTACTAGCATTCCCATGATTCTAATGAATTCCCCATTTCGGATGTCTTCCAGGTATCAAATAGTGTTTAAAAATAAAGTGTACCACTGTGCCAAACTAATATATCCATATCTATGGAAATATAGTTATGATTACTTCAGAACTGAGCGCATGCAACTTTGTAACATGAACTCATTCTGCCAAAAGAAAATCAAAGGTGGGTAAACATATAGGGTGTGGAAATGGTTTTATTAGCCAGAACACTGGTGGTAAAACACTAGCAGTTATTTTCAACATGCTAAATAATCCACTGAAATCAAATGAATAAATGGTGGGACTTGCATCTGAAAATTTTCTTTGTCGTCAAACAAGCATGGTGCTAGAATTAAAAAGAATTTTAAAGAACTACACAGTGATTCCATAGTAGAGAACTGGATTTGAGTCTTTCTAATTGGAATCTAACAATAACAAGATGTAAGCTACAGACTTAGCTAGGTAACCTAGCATCTGCCAAGTGTTTTTCTCATCAGCGCCACTCAGAGGCCATGCATATGGTGATTGTAGTCTAAACATCTAGACTGTGTCAGGCAACCTACCCCAACTCATGCTTAACCAACAGTGAAGATATATTTTGTCAAGGCATCTCCTTTACCTCTGATATGGGAGAAAATTTATTTATATATTTACCTACAACTGAATTCAAGAGTTCGATCTTAAAGTAGTTAGAACTATGAGGAGAAATGGAGCCATGCTGATTGGCTTAATTCTATGCATATGGAGTCAGTCAAGGCCAGACAGAAAATTTAATGGTATCAGCTGGATCTCTTTAACAGCAAGCTGGAGAATTGCCACAAGCAATTAGACACCTGCAGAGGGAGTCAGCATCAATGGCAGGGTCATCCTTTGGGAGGCAATGAAAGGTTGGAGATGCCCTGCCTTACTGGAATGCTGTAAGGTTCTACATATATCATAAGGCACTCTCTGGGTGAGAGCCAGAAAGTGAAAGGCCCACTTGGGAATCAGAAGGAAAATCAGAGTTTATTGCCAATCCCCTCTCAGGGAGATTCTTAATTAAAGAAGGATCCTCAAAGGAAAGGGACTCTGGATGTGAAAGGTTCTTTTGCCCATATTTTAATGATGGCAGGGTTAATGACTTGGAACAAATTATTCAGAGCATAGATTCATTTCCTCTATCATCTGATCTTAATCATATGAAGGCTGAAGTCCCAGATAGAGTAAGTATTCATTGTCTATAAAAACAAACATTCTAGAATCTTATTGCAACACCAGCTTCACAAGCAGACTATATATAAATCAATCTACAGAAAGCAACTATTTTAGCCTACAGAAGCTAAAATAGTTGTAGGTCCAAATAGTAAATAGAACTTGCTTTAAGGAAAAGGACTTGGCATACCTGGGCTTCCTCCTCTTCAGTGAAGTCATTTTTAATATTGAAGGTCTTGCGGATTTCTTCTGGTGTTTTTCCTTTAATCATATTTGCAACAGTCTTGCATGTCACATCCAGTAAGCCTTTGATGTCTAAGTAGTTTGCAGCCTTTACAGAAAGCAACAGATTTTTAAGGATTCTGCAAATCAGTACTCTATTATATAATGGTGCACATTGTACTTCTAGTAGTAATTGTACACAACAGCAATCAATGATAACTGAAAATGAAGCCTAAGGTAACTATTTTCTTGCTGGATCTAGAAATATTATTGCTAATGGCAATAACAAGCTTTTCTTCCATTTACAGACCTTATAAAGACTGCTAGTTAAAATTTCACAGTACTGTTATAAATTCTGCACTTTGGAATACATATTCCATAAGACACAATATTCCAAGTTTTCATAGTTCAAATAGTTTTGCTAAGCTTTCAAAAAGCAGCAACTACAACCAATAAACATACATATCTTAATCTCGTTTAAACTTACAAGATAAATAGAGCAAAATCTCAGCCTTGCATCCTGTAAGCACAGTCAATTATAAATGCTTTAAGTGATGTTCATTTATTAAGTTGCTTGCACTGTCTATCTCTGCATCTTTACAATCATGAAGCCTATCTTTGAAATTTTATATTTTAAATTTCATGGGCATTTTGCTTAACCCAACAGACTGCAATGTATTTATGACATTAAAATATACACAAGCTCTGTTATACTACAATATTTCATTAGTCTGTAAATATCAGTGGAACAGGATATACTAGGTCAACCTACCAGAATAAGTTCAAAGAGAGTTCCTTGGTCTACTTTGAGAAATTCTTGGTCCCACACAGGGATGTCATCTGTTCGTTTCTCTTTGTTCTCATCATCCTCAGGAGGAGGTGGATCATCTTTATGATGGGTACACCACTGAATCACCTTTGGAAATTAAGATATATTATGGAAAAGCTTTATAAAATTTATTTTATTTTCTGGTGAACATTTGCTCTACCAATACTTTTATATAAACACTACTTAGCACAATATTGGAAACTGCTAATCAGTTGTTAAACATGATTTACAGGTTGAAACAGAAGGTTGTACCATTTTCAAACTAGGCATGCTCACAATGTTTAAGTACCAATTTTTCAGAGACAGAAGAGTTGACAATATGAATCAGATTTTATGTATTTCTTAATTTATTATTCTCAATTCCAGACATTAGATATAATTGTGTCATTTATGTACACCAATACAAAAGATCTGCAGAAAAGTATTCAGAGAAATCAAATCAAACAGTAAAAATGATCAACAGAAATGTTTCCTTAGCTAACAGTAATTAAATACTTTCAACTTAAAATTTTTAATAAATGTAAAAATAATGCAAATTTCAATTTTATTATGTATAAAGATCTAGAAGGCACAGGTAAAGAAAGACAAACACTTTAACAATTTTGCCAGGATATGGATCTGATATTAACTATATAATCAATGTTTTTCTACAACTATTTGAGCCATCTTCCAGTACAGAAACAGCACTGAACACAACCTATTCTTTTAAAAATTAAGTTTAATTTTAAACATTTAAAGAATACAAAGCTAAAAAATAAATAATCTACCTAAAAGAAAACCAAACAGTTATAATCTAATGAGAATAAAAATTGTATAATTGGGCTATTACCACAAGAAGGCTCTTTCTCATGTATTTGCCATTCTAACAGCTCTTGGCTGTGAGAAATATAAGAAACCCTCTGAAGCAGAACTTAAACAAACACTAATTGTAATCGATGCAGGTGACAGAAAAATATCACTAGCATAAGATGATCAACAAAATGCATGCCAGAATGCTGTCATATTTGCACCAACTGCAACCTCCAAAGATTCAAGGGCAGTCTCATGTGAAACACACTGCAGTAATCTATACAGTATCACTTTAATCACTCTCTGTATCACTGCAGACAAACTTGCATTTTCCAGAAATGGCACAGATGATACAATGGCAAAGCTACGCAATGACATTCTTGACCAGAGAATTGCCTTTCCAGAAGCAATGAGGGATTCAAAAGCACTCCAACTAGAAAAACGAATCCATTAGAAGGAGTCAACTCCATATCGGTGTAGAAGCAGTTCTGACATAGCCACTGAGGAAATGTTGATTGATTGATTGATTGATTGAT